CTGCTGGCGAGCGGCAGTAGCGTCAGGGGTGGTGTAAGAGCTTGACAGCCTGACCCCAGGGACCTTTAAGGCAGAAAAAAAACCCAGTCAAGAGTTCGGGAGCCTGCAGGCTTCTCAACTGCTGGTCCCTCAGCCGCTCCACTCTGCCCGGCAACAGCGGCGACGGTTGGAGCCTTCGCGCACTTTTCAGAGCTGTGAGACTAAAAAGAGCGGGAGGCGGCTGCGCGCGCAGCCGCCGCCATTTTGAATCGCCCCGGAGTGGGAGAACGCTGGGATCGTGCGGAGAGCAAATAGCCTTCGAAGCTGCTCACAGAGAAAGCAAGAGAAGCGGATAGCCAGGCAGCCCTAGCGGAGCCACAGCCAGCCCTCAGCGACTGCAGAATGCCGCAAGGAGGCTGGAGATTAGTCTGGGGAGCCAGTTAGTCTCTCCCTCCTGAGAAGGAACAGCTAAGTCTCGGGGACCCGAGGGCGGTAGGAGGAAGGAATCCGACCTCCAGGCGGCCCTTCCCTCCTGAAGAGTCTGCAAGCATATTTGAGCCACCTTGGCCAGCGCGTGCCCATCCCAGCTCCAGCTAGCTTCCAGGCCCCGTGGGTGACCTGAGCATGGCAGAGGAATGCAGGGAGGCCTTAGGGGAGCAGGCAGGGCCCTACAGCAAGCGCAGCAAGCTGGATCCCTCTGTGAAAAAAGGCAAAGGGCACAAGGCTCTAATGAAAGGTCTTCACCTAGAGCCACAGTGGATCCCAGGGAGGTCTCTAGGCCCTATCAGCCAGAACCTAGCCTGAACCATCGCAACAGGGAGTTAGCTTCCCCTGATCGTGAGGCCCAATCCCCTGGGGACAGTGAATTCTTGTCCGGGGATGACTATAGGTCCAGGGATCCATCTCCAGAGGCTTCTTGGGGTTACCCTGACTCCCCTAGTTCCTCCATTGGAGAGGAACGTGACTCTATCCAGGATTCCCAGTGTGAAAAGTGTGAATCCAGCTCAGGCAGGGCTGGCCATCGCAGGCCCAGCAAGCAGAAGTTAAAAAAGAAGGGTAAAGGCCAGGTTCTCTTGGATGAGATGTGGGAGGTAATTTCCTTAGCCATTTTTCAAGGGATAGCTGAAGGAATTAAGCACAGGGGCTCTCGAAAGGCCAAGGCCCCAAAGAAAAGGCACCAACCTAAGGCCTCCACCTCCAAAGAGCCTGTATCCTCTTCTGGCTCCTCCAGCCCATCTCATTCTGGGCTTTCCAGTTCTGAGCAGGAGGAAGGGGAAATTTTCGTTCATCCTGAAGATGAAGACCTTACCCCTGACAAGCCGGCCTTCACTGGCCTGTTCAAGCCGTCTTTATTTAAAGCCATCTTGCACAAGGCCATGACGGCTACGGAGCTAGGCCCCACTTCCAAGCCTGAGGCAGCTCAGGCTTCTACATCCAAGGATCACAAACATGGCCTGTTCAAAGAAACAGTAGCAGCACCTGAGGTCATCCCAGTACCTGACCTCTTTATGGACGCGGTTCAGTGCCAGGGGCTACAGCCAGGCAGACTGACCAACCCCAGTGGGGGTGACAGGGCACTATATGCCCTGGAGGGGAAGATGGAAGACATCCTTAAATTCCCTGAAATAGATGCCCCGGTTGTGTCCCTGACTTCCAACTCAAACCTGCCAGCTGAGCTCCTAGAGGGACTAAAGGCAGAGGATAAGAGGTCGGAAAAGGCGTGCCAGAAAACACACATGGCGTCTGCCTGGGCCATTAAGGCACCCACCTCTGCTTCTTTCTTTATCAGGGCCACCTTATTCTGGCTGCGCCAACTCAGATCTCGGCCATCCCCCAGGAA